ATAATGAGGAATAAATCAATTTAACCTTACGATTATTAAAAATTTTTAAATCCATGTAAAAGATGAACCCACTTTTGCTATTATTTCTTGAATCTTTTCTTCATGACTTTCCATTTCTGTGATGCTCTTGACCTGTGCCAAGTTTACATTTTCTCGATAACCTAATGAAACAATTTCATCAAAAGCACTCAAAAGTTCAAAACTATTTTTCAAAATCTCTCTTTCGTCATTGGATCGACAAACATCCGATACCACACGAGCAAATAGATGTAGAGTGTCAATATCTTGCAAGATATTAGATTGGCGATTGGTAATAAGAACCATGTATAATTCATCAAGGGGTTGATAGACGTAACGAACATGTTCGGTTTCAATTGTAGTATGCTGCTGTCCAGTACTCGTCAATTTTGGAAATGAGACAAGAAGGCCCTCAATTCTAGCGCGTGGCATTTCGCGAAATTGCCGGGAAATCACAGCTATAGAATGTTTCAACGAATTAGAAATGACCTAGCGGATTCACTTACAATTTTTTATCAAAGGACTTCATGGCAAAAATGGAAGGACGAATGGATATGAAAACATGAATTTCTACCTTTTCCGCCTTTTGTACATATCGAAGCTGCCAAAACAACCTACATTACATTTGGCAGTTAAGAATCAAACGTCTTTACATCAAGATCTACTCTTTTGATATGAGAAGCAAAAACGAATAGTAAAAAAACAGACCATTGTTTTAAATTTAAAGGGGAAATAAATAAATCTTCAATCTACAAACTTGTCAATTGAATGCCCAGTTTTTTTAGTTGAATCGTTGAATCACCCTTTTTTTTTTTTATGCATGTCGTGAAATTCGATTTCATTGGTTTGATGATCATCAAATGTTATTGATAAATAATTGGTCGGTCAAATCAATCGCGATATTTCTCGTTTCATTATGGAAAATTTTATTTCGCCTCCACCTATGCCACCCCTTCCACCGCCACCAACACCTCCAGATCCTCAAATAAATGCCTCATCGTCATCTATCACAAATTTAACCCATAGTCCTAGCGCTAATATTCCCGATGAAGAAACAACCAAACTTACCGAGACTCAAAAAATGCTAAAACAGCTTTTCCAAGATCCTTTACTTTCCGATTTAACTAAATACATTAATGACGATAAAAGTAGCCAAACATTACTCAATAAGAGCACGAATAAGAATGTCTCTAATACAATAGATGACAGTTCTTTGACTGCTGCGATAAATTCATTAACACTCGAACAAGTCGATACACTTATTGCGTTAGAACTAGGTACCGCTTTTGAAATTACCATTCAAAGAGGTGGGCTTGAGCCTTTAAGTAAGTGTTTAAAAGATATTTTTATAAATTGAATCTATTGATTTGATTAATTTATAGATATATATATATTTTTTTTTTAACAGAAATGGTAGTTCGACAAAATGCTACAATTGCAGATATAAAAAATTTAATTGTTTTACAGATATCAAGAGATATTAAAGAAGCAAATAAAAAAAAAGGCAGAAAGAATAGGAAGATTAGTTGGTATATACAATTTATTAATTTTTAAGAATTATTTAATTATTCCCATTCATTTTTTTTTTCTTTTTTAGGAAATATATATGGAAAACTTATTGCCTTATGTTTGAAGGACAAAAATTGTTGGAAGATAAAGCTAGAATTCAAGAGATTGGTATTCGTAGTGGGAGCGTTTTAAAGTTCTCAAGATACAACAGTAAAATTAAGAAAGAAAAAAATAGAACGGAACGCGAAAAATATTAGTTTATTTATGGACTCTTTCATACGAAGAAACTTAAGTTACATGATTATTTTTTTTTTTTTTTTTTTATCGAACATTGATGGCATTTATCACTTAATTTTGCGATTTCTCTTGACGACAATTGCGGATCATTTAATATCTTACCTGATGAGTATTATATTATCTGAATACACCGTATCATTTGAATTTCAAAGAAATTCTATAATATTTGTCGCTTTTGAGTTTGAAAAATCGTTGTCTTCTGATAAATAATCAATTATTGAAATGATTCACTCCGAAATCTCGTCGACTTCAAAATTTTTTTTCATCGCACCTACTCATTTCACTAACGCGGTAGAGTCCATTAATTATTGTGAAGGTTGGTTTATTGAAGCAGATATTTCAGGCTTCATTGATAACTCATTTTGTTTACGAATTGATAGGATTTACATTTATGTAAATATTTATTTGCATATTCTGGATAAAAATTATGGTCAATATAGGTAAAATAATTAATTATTTATTTATAAATGGTCTATTTTAAAAGGAAATAATATTTTATATATAACATTATATTTAGTTATCTTTTCAAGGTCAAAGAGACTTATCGCACAGAAGCTACGGTCCTGTAAAAAATATACAAAATTGGCAATTATTATGGGACCGCTAAGTATGGGACCCGGTCCTAAATCCTAAAATTTTAAACTTGAAGAAATTTCATTAAAAACTATAATAGATAAGTTTAATAAAAAATTTGTTATTGGGACTTTTAGGACCGCTTAACATCCCTGCACCATACCTTTATCAACCTTTTTATTAAACTTCATTGAACAACTATATTACGACTGTTATAACAAAAATTTTCATTACAAAACAGAAATTGATTGATTATAAGGCAAGATGTACTTTGTAATATTCAAAACCAAATTCGAGCAATACAGTAAGAATTAATAAAGATACAAAAGGGAGAAATGAGGATATGATACGAGTTCCTCCCTCAATTTTCTAGAAAGCTAACTACGAGACCAATTTTATTATAACAAAATAGGTGCGATGCATGTGATGATCATCAATTTTATTTTTATTGGTTGCCGCATATCTTGTGGAATACAAATGTGTTTTTTTATCTATTAGTGCCGATATAAATTAATAAAAAAAAATTTTATAATTTTAAAAATGACAACAATCGAAGAAAAATTGGAAAAGGCAGAAGGGTGGTATGAAGAGGCGAAGAAGAATTTGATGGATTCGGAGAAGAGAGATTACAAAGGGGGTGAAATTAAACGAGTTGCAGGAGAAGTTGAGCAATAAAAAATGGGATGAACAGAAGAAGGATGTATGGAGAGATAGGTTGATCGAAGAAAAAATGGGGTTGAAGAAGGAAAAAAAGACTGGAGAAACCAGGTGGTGGAGTTGCAGAGGGCGCTAATTGAATTTGGAAAAGAAAAAGGTAATGAACAAATTTGCGTAAAAAAAAATATACAAATATACAAAAAATTTTTTTTCATTCATTGTTCATTTCTCCATTTAAGAGAGTGTTTAGTATATAATGTTCACAACTCTAACTAAATTGTGATTTTTTTTTGTAAATTTAATAGGAAAACGTATGGCAGAAGAAGAGCGTGTTGATGGTATTGAAAGAGGGAAAAAGTTGACTACGGCTCCATCCAGTCTTGGAAAAGCATCAGACTACATCGAAGTGCAAACGCAAAACTGTTTTATAACGGCTATCCACAATCACTCTAACCTCCTCCACTTGTGTTTATCAGCATCACATCTTAGAATTGCTGGTGCTTTTTATAATGGAGACTATTTAATTGAAGGTCTAGCAGAAATTTCATTAGACTGTTTTGAATCTACGAACACAAATAATTGGAAGGATGTTGCTTGCTCTTAAAAAAGCTGTTCAGTCATTAAAAGATTATGTTAAAGTTTATTAGATCTATATAATGAATAGTAGTTGTTCATGAGGTGTTAAATGAAGTTCATGAATGTTTACAATGACTTGATTTATCTTGTATAGAATCAGATGATCCAATAGCATCTGGAATTCTAAACATTTCTGAAGGAGTGGATAAAGTGATAGATAATTTATCAATAGAAACAAAGCAAATTCTTGCAGATGTTAAAATAATGATCTAGAATTATTCGAAATGAATATCAAATTGTTAATATATATAACCTAACTTTAATATAGCTTTTGTTAAACCTATTTCATTTTTACAAATTTGAACCAATAGTTGTTTGTTTATATTTCTGCAGGAGAGAATTCTCACGATCTTGAGAATTTTTAGGAATTTCACACAGCCACTTTCTTTGTTTATAAATATTCGTCAAAATTTTTCCTCTATTTTCTCTAAAATTTTGCTTATTCTCCTAAAATTATTGTAAAATTTCAAACTTTTCCTTAAAATATTTTTTTTTTTTAACTTTTATATTTTCAACATTTATTTTTAACATGAGCAAACAACAAAGAAAATGCTTTTTCATCACTCGTTAGTCTGCTCTTTCTAGAGAACATTGAGAATATATCAACATTTAGAAATAGAAACTCATCAACAACAACAAGAAATTACTAAACTAATTAATGAACTGATGACTCTTTCCTCTCATTTAGATAATAGGAACGAAAAGTTTATGGATTTGGAATTCCTTTACAATGGTCTTCGGCAACGTTTTAACGATCTTCAACAACAGATAGCTTCACCTTCAGAAAGAGAGGAACAACTTTTAGAGGAAATAGTTCATATTTGGCAGTTGTTTCAAAAAGTAATCATATAACTGCATCAGAGAAATCGTGAATTTAATTTTTCTTATCATGTTCGTAACAATTAATGGTTACTAACATTAATAGAAAGGGATGTCATATACTTTGTCTGATCCATATTTACGCTTGTCATATGTTTCTACTAATATGTGACCTACGCTTCCTTTCCTCTTTTCTATCCTATAGTTTTCTTCAAGTTTTTATTTCTTTATTTTTTTGATATATTTTTTTAAAATAGTCTTCTTTTGTTATATTTCTGATTTTCATGTGTCTTAAATTTGTATTTCTCAGATTATTCAATAAAATTTTGCATATTATTACACGAAAGAAGACATGGATGATGATGATCTAAAGGATGACGTCGATCTCTAAGAAATCATATATGTCTTCTATGTCATCTATGTCGTCTATAACATATATTTCTTTTGTACAATATATTTCTTTTATTTATTTTATCTTATTTATCTCATA